CACTCATTCATTTATCATTTGCATTTTTAAAAACATCATGCAGAACTGAAGAGAGTAGGCAGAATTTTTTCAAAAATTGTGCATAATGCCCTACTTTGTTCCAAAAAGGATAAGGGCAGTTTACAAGGATACAGAAAATACAATAAGATAATAGATGTGAACAAGATAAAGAAGGACGTGTGTGAGATGCTAAATAGAGGTAGGAACGAGACAAACAGAAAAATGCTTTCTGGAAAGTCTATACAGTAGCTGTAGGAGGACCACAGATCTGTCTCCAGGTTTTCATTTTAATTACCTTCAAATTCATATCTTTTAGTGGGATGACAGCTCACTCTTGGTTTGCATTAATTGCCTCTTGAAAGCAACTTTAATTACTTCCAGATTCATAGTCTCCTTGGGTGAAAACAAACTAATTCCTCAAGGCGAGCATACCTCCTTCTGCAACTAAGACTGAAAATAATTTCTGCCTGTGTTGATGTTGTGTAATGGAATGAACAACATCCTCAGCAGCACCCCTACAATAAGCACAGAGGAGAATTTCGTGGCACTGTTTCCAACAGGTGGTCCCAATAAAGTCCAAGGGCATCACACTCTCAATTCCGAGATGCATAATGAAATCAGTAATTGGCCATATAAATGGCTATGGGCTCTGAGCACACTGTTCTCTGATTTCAGAGTCAAAGACCTGTTTGGAATGAGGTGATCAAAAAAAAGGGGTGTTCAGTTCAAACGACATTTGGATCACTTAGTGTTCAGCTGTCTCCAGCTGTTACATCTCTTGGGAGTCAGAGCCTCCCCCCTCCCCCCACTTTACACAAGCAGACGCTCCTCTGGCAAATAGCATTAGCTACGTCACACGTCCTCACGTGCATGTGTGCTGACTGCTGATGATTTTAAACCCTCCCAGAGCAGAAATCACATCTCATTATCCTTTTTATTCCCATGCTACAGACTGAATGTTTGCATCCTCCCAAATTCATATGTTGAAATCCTAACCCACAATACCTAACCTAACCCATTTCACAGGAACTCTCCCTATTCCAGCTCTGTAGTCTACATTACCATAAAACTCCATCTTCCCGAGAAATCAAAGACCGAGGTGTTTGCACTTCCCCCTCTGCTATTACATTTTTACAGCAGGAACTGCAATTTTACTAAGGAATTGCAATTCCTTAGTAGTGTCATGACAGGAGCGAGGTGGAAGACGTTATTCTTCATGGTGACCCTTTGTCACCACGGTGATGTCCCTGAATAGTTATGAATAACAGTGAGCCTCCTCTAACACTTTCCATCACATCTTCCCTAAAGTGCTGGACCAAGGACCTCATAACCCCATGACCATCCATTCTCAATTCTCTTGTTCATGAACATAAGCCTGATGGTCAATATTGTCCCAAACTAAACGTGGAACACAACAAAAACATAATAGGGAACCATCAGTCCAGGTCATAAGCAATGACTTGAAGAGATAGAAAATCTTAGAGGAATTTCAGGGTGGGAAGAAGGGACTGACGGAGCCTCCTTGAGAGATGTTGGAAGGCTGTGTGCATAAAACCTGGCAATATTATGGGAACATCAGTAAAGTTCCTAAGAGGATGCTGGTCAGGAATGGATAGGTAGATGGTGGGTAGAAAGCCCAACTGAGAAAATAGTTTGGGTGAAAATAATTTAAATCCAGATGGCTAGATCAGACAGGGGAAGCAAGGCTGATGCATAAATAGGAGGTATAGTATTTACCTTCTATTTCAAATACTTGGATGAAGAGAAGAACTGAGACAAGTCTCCTAGGAGGTTTTATAAGAGTAATATTGTTCTGTGATTAGGTTATAATTTCACAATACTGAAACATGGTAAGAGCGAGCATTTGTCCCCCTGTCATTTTTTACCAGTTATTCAGACACAGTACTTGGTTGCAGTGGATGATTTTGTCATCCAGTCGTAGGATGTATGATCTCTGTGTCAACAAGGAGGCCTTGAAGTCTGAGACTGGTTCAGAGATCCTCCCGTGTCAGTCAGTCTGGGCTACTAAAACAAAATACCCGGTGGCTTAAACAGCAGACATTTATCAGTCACAGTTGTGGAGACCAGGAAAGTCTAAGATCAAGGAGTGCGCTGATTTGGTTTTTGGTAAGGGCTGTTTTCCTAGCTTGCGTATGACTCCTTTCTTCTGTGTCCTCACTTAGGAGATCTTTCTCGCTCTCCCTCCTTTCCCTTTCCACCTCCCTCTCCCATCTCTTCTTATAAGGGTACTAATTTATCATGAGGCCTCCGCTCTCATGACCTAATAACCTCTCAAAGGCCCACCTGCAAATACCAGCATATTGAAGGATAAGACTTCAACATATAAATATGGGGGCAGGGGCACAATTCAGTCCTTAGCACCTCTTGTGCAAGGCAACCTCAGCAGGACAATGAAGAACATGTTCTGTCCAAGGTGGGGAAACAGGCACAGCAGAACGAATGCAAGGCCAGGCAAGCTCTGGTTTACACTGAATCATGGATCTCCTCATGGTCTTGATATTTTCACAAAAGGAGCACCAATGGAGGTCTTCAATCAGGGTAATCTGAAGAAACTTCCTACCTAAGGTCAGGCAAGATCTCCTTAAAGAACCCTAGACTTGTCCACCACATTCCTAAGTCCCCTCCCTGGGGGAGAGGCAGCTGGTGACTATATTTTTCATTGGCCACCCTCACCGAACCCCTCCCAGGGGCCCACATGATTTTCTAGACAAGGACCTGGGGAAGGGACAGAGCCAAGAGATAAAGTATGATGCTCTGTTTCATCAGATTAGTTCAAATCTACCCCAAACTATCATGCCACACAGGCAATCTGGTACCCAGAAACTTCAGGCTCAAAGGTAATCACAATGATCAATATCCTCCCCAGGTTTCCACATGGAATAGCTAATGAGGTGTGGCAACATTTTGGTTAGATTGGAAAACCATGTTCTACCCTCCCTTCTGAAACTTCCAGGATGTCATCATAAATCCCATTCAACCTCCGAGTTGACTAAGCCAGGAGGAAAGTCTTTCTGCATCATGCCAGGCAGCACTACCTGTTAGGAACTCTCCTCTGTTTTGAATGGGAATCTGTGTCCTTACAATATCACCCATTTGTCTACTTCTACCCTCTGAAGCCACACAGAATATGCCTGCTCTTTTCCATATGGCAACCCTCCAGGCACTAGACGAGAACCTTCCTTCCCTGGCAGGCTTCCTCTTCCCAAGAGATGATGCCTTCCAGGCCTTCCAGGCCTTCTAGGCTCCAGAGACCTGCCCCAGGGTCCCCATCTGTCTGGCTTTCTCTTCTAGACCCTCTTCTGTCACCTAAAAGTTCCTATTCAGCAAAGGGATTGTAATACCATAGCCTAGCTTTCCTGCTGGGCTGAAACAGTTTCCAAAAATTCTGGAAATTTGTTATGGTTGTGGCTGCCAAGACCACAAAACCCAGATCCCAATCTCCCACTGAGAAGCCCAAGAACATGTTCAAATCATCCTCTGCCTGGATATTAGCCCTGGGTCCTTGAGATGAATCATGAGTTTCTCTCATTGTTGCTGCTGGCCGCCCCCCCTCCCCAGGTCAATGGGTGGTGGGACACACAACACCTCTAATGATGCCCTTTGCCCTGAGTGTAGAACCCCGAAGGTGAAGGCAGCATTGAACATCCCATCACAGGGCCCAGCTGACTATGCTCACTTGACAGGAAGTAGGACAAGACCGGTGAGGTCCAGGGCATCTGCCTCATGATGTCCAGCGAAGGGTCATCTGCAAGTGCTTAACCTCCAGATCCCTGTCCTAGAGTTAACTCAAGGACCCCACCCTCAACAGTCGAAGTCATCTCAGCCTGGCCAGCAGCCTTGCTCTGACTAACCCCGCTCCGTGCAACACCCACACTTGCACCATGTGCGCCTCCTGTAGATGACCACAGCATTTGCTGTGTCAAAATATGGTCCCTGTCATCAACCCTATCACATTCTGCCTTAGGACAGGGCTCTATCTGTGTTCCTTTGCTTTGTTTCCCAACTGGGAGCTCCCTGAAAGAAGCCCATGGGTCTTATTTGGCTGTGTCTCCATTCCTAGCATGGAACCTGACACAAAGCAGGCACCCATGTAGGACAGGTGAGGGTGAAAAAAATGATCCCTTGGCTTTACTTTGTCAACACCTACACATCTCCATTGAGAATGGTGGGTGGGTCAGGAGAGACTACCACAACCGCTGTCTGTATCTGTTACACCATCTATAGCATGGTGGGGTAACCTGTGAGTGGTGAGCTGGGCTGCTCAAAACATGGGAGTCCTCCATTTGATCCCTTTCGAAGTCCATGAGCTCTGCATTGTCTTGCCATAGAATGTGCTCCCAATTCTAGCATATGACCAGCCTGTCTTATAGATGGAAACTGGGGATGGTGAGGTTTTGAGCTTTTGACTCTCCTCCCAACTTCTGCATTCATAAACAGGCCAGACAGGCATGCCCACCCTCATATACTGCCTGGGGCAAACCCATCCCACTCCCAGTAATTGCAAAAGGTATATTATGACAGCAGGTATATTATGACTCTGATTAGCCTCAGCAGCAAAATGTCTCATGACTATCTTCATCATCCCCAGGAAAAGGGGCTTAGCCTGCTCTGTGCAAACCACGGCACAGTGCTCCATGGAGGATCAGTATGATGGACAAGTCCCATTGTGATGTGGGAAAAGCCAGAAGCCACTGGGAGCAGACAGGTCTCTGCTCCTAGACTCGGGATCTCCCAAGATCACATAGCCCCTGCCAACTCCTAATCCCACATGAAATGGGCAAAGCTGCTAAGAGTTCGCTGGTCTGAAATACCAGCCAGTGTCCTTCTTCGTGGTTTCCATGGTGACAGGAGCAGTGGTCAGGCTTATGACCGGGGAAATGAAGAGCAGAGGCTCCATCTCTCGGGCTCCCATCTGTTCTTGCTCCCCACACACCTCCTGCTGCATCCTTAAAGGCCAGACCAGAAGAGGGTGCCCTTACCTGCTAAGATGAAGATGCCCACAAGAATCAGGAAGACCAGAAGGTAGAGCCCGAGGACAGCATGCTTCAGGGCTGACAGGGAGCCCAGCTGGGTGCAGCAGCCTCCTGTTCGTCGCTTGTGGCATGGACCTAGACAATAAAAGTAAGAAGACGAGAGGAAAATGAAACACTTGAACACCCCACAGTGTTGTTTTTGTTTTTCTTTGGTCTCATCTCTCCTGATGTATGGAGATGCTCACACAGAACCTCTCATACACCTTCTGCGCATCTGTAATGCAGCTGTAACGATGGGGAACTTTCCAGAACATGACAAGCTTTTGAGCTTTTGACTCTCCTCCCACATTCTGCATTCATAAACAAGCCAGACAGGCATGCCCACAGCTCATACACCCAAAAAACCCACTCTCCTGGAGCCAGAAAAAGCAGGAGAAAAAGCTCAGATAGGCTGCAATATGTGTCCTTTACAAAAGCATCACTGTCCCATGGAACCCAGAGAATATGGAGGAAATTTAAAACGGGGGTTGCAAACTTTAACTTCTACGGAGGCCAGAAAGGGAGGGAAATGAGCAAAGTGGGTCACGTGGGCCTGGGGAACCTGACAGCTCACACCCAGTGTGGTAGAGGTTGTGATGGAGGGGTAAGGGCCAGGTGTTGCCGGACAGAATTTTCAAGACAAGCCAGAAGCAATTTTGAGAAATTGCCCTATTTTTAAAGTGTTGACAACTAAAATAATAATAATACAAAAGACAAAAAACTTACAAAACACTAGGGACTGTAAACAAAACATGCTTACATGCCAGATCTGACCACCCGTTAGCAACCACAGGTTTAGATTAACAGGAAGACATAGTAACTTCATTCCGTGAAACTACATGAGGCTCATCGGCTTCTGGCCAATACGGAATGGCAAAAAATATCAGTGCTCTACAGGACCTCATGGATCTCTTAGTACAACCCCTTTTTACAGTTTACAGATGGACTCCTCCTTCGAGGCACACTTCTCAGATGGCCAGGGCAGAGACCGGGAAGTCACTAACTTCCATCTGCTTCATCCATGGACTGTGGAAAGAAGAGAGATTGTCTTGTCCTGACTCCCAGCAGGGCAGGCAGGAATTGGTAGAGGACATTTTTCCTAAAACATGCATGCCTCTATTATGCTTATTCTCCCTCTCCTGGGATGGACAACGTTGCTAACTGACTGGAGTGTGCTAGATGTGGAGGAAGATGTGGGAGGAGAAAAAAGTCAAAATAATTGATATTATGAAATGTTTATTTATTTTTAAATTTTTTTCAAAGATTTTATTTATTTATCTGAGAGAGTGAGAAAGTAAGAGCACAAGGGAAGAGGGGGGAGGGAGAAGCAGACTCCCTGCTGAGCAGGGAGCCGGATGTGGGACTCAATCCCAGGACCTTGGGATCATGACCTGAGCCCAAGGCAGATGCTTAACCAACTGAGCCACCCAGGCGCCCCTCCAAAATGTTTTTAAAGATGTAATGATGTTTGTGATTCCTTGGCAACTTGGGGTTTGCCAGTGAGATGCTTCAAGGGCTACTCATTACTTTTCGGGTACCATGATCACCTCTGGGGCCTTTGGGAGGTTTGGTTACCGGGAGCAAGAGGATAGGTGACCACACTCGTGTCCTGGCTCCCCAGAGGTAGTGTTGAGTGAAGAACATTTTCCCACTCACTTACTCCATTTCACTAAGAATACTGCTGCTCAAACAGCTAAGTAGAACAATTACATAATAATTCCATAAAATATCGGGTACAATTTGGAGCCAAGTCGTTAAAGAAATACAAAGTCAAACACCATTCTCATCACCCCTTAACTGTGAGCAAATTTTGAAAAGTTAACCTGCTTTTCCACTAAGACTCGAGAAGCGTGCATCTTTTTAACTTCCCCTAAGTCTCCTTTTCCACAATGTTCTATCCCTTCTACACAACAGACCCTGTTGTTTTGCTCCTGAATCTGAAGGGTTCTTGTTGCATTTTGCCTTTTGTTGTTGTTGTTCTCATGAGAGCTGCTGGGTCCCTGGTTGCAACTTATTAGAGATGAGGCTGTTTTCCTAGAGAGTCAGAACGGGAGGCACAGCATTGGATACTACACAAATACAAGTTTTTGCTATCCTGACAGCTGTCCCAGCCCTCCTGCTCTACTCCCCGCTTCCTCTTTAGATGATGCCAGTGGCCACCTAACTGCTGCAAAGGGTCAGAAGATTGCCATGCTGAAATGCCATTATCCTGATGTTTATCCCAAACCAATCTTGGGCTCTTCCTTCGTTGCCTTTATTGGGGCAAACTGCAATGATCTAGTTTTATTTTTTCCCATCAAGAAAGAAAGGTTCCCTTCCCCTTTATCTGAGGCTTCTGTTTAATAGCCAGCACTCACTGGTGACAGGTCCCTTCATCAACTAATGCACAACACAGGCCTCCCCTTCTTAGAGAGCATCATTTTTTAAGCAAATGTATATTAAACAAAATCTGCCTTCAGTATAACATACAAGAATTTCAAACAGAGGTTTTCCACAAATGCATTAGACAAGCAGAACGTGAATGATTCTGGCAAGTTAGCTAGAGAATGTGATTGTAAGGGGAAAAAAAAAGATGATTCAGGAGAAAGACAAGTTACTAAGTCTGCTTAAAACACATTTACTGACTTTTTAAAGTAATGTGGCAGCATCATGTTAGCTGGGTAAACCATTTAAATTATTTAGGCTTATTGGAAGATTAAAAACACTCCAGAATGATACAGTCAGTAAAACCAAGGCAAAAAATATGTTCACTTATTTGTTAAAAAAAAAAAAAAAAGAGAGAAAAGAAAAATGTAAAAACATGGAGGACACTTACATGCATATTACTAAGTGAAAGAAGCCAACCTGAAAAGGCTACATGCTTTATGATTCTACATGACATTCTGGAAAAGGCAGGGTCTAAAGGGAGGATGAATAGGAGAAGACAGGATTTTGAGAGTAGTGAAACTACTCCATATTATACAATAATGATGGATACATATCATTGTATGTTTGTCTAAACCTATTGAATACATAACACCAAGAGTGAATCTTAACATAGACTATGTGGACTTTCAGTGATAGGGATGGGTCAATGTAAGTTCATCAGTTCTAGCAAATGGACCACACTGGTGGGGGATGTTGAGAGAGGCTGTGCATGTGTGGAGGCAGGGAGTATAAGGGAATGCTCTGTACTTCCCACTTAATTTTGCTGTAAACCTAAAACCACTCTGAAAAAATAAAGTCTACTTAAAAAACAAAAGGGTTGACATGGATTCTTGAGATAAAAACTTTCACAGGCATTTACTGACCACCCACTATCAATTGCCCTACTGTGGTAGCCAGCGTTCAAGATGGCTCTCGTTGAACCCTATCCCTTATCTAGTCTCCTTCAGCACTGCACTAGGATTTGGTTGGTGTGACCCACAGAAGTGATAGTATGTCACTTCTGAGATTGCACAAAAGACACAGCGGCTTCTCCTTACTCACTTTGTCTCTCTTGGAACATCCATTCAGGGGAAAGCCGGAACTATGTCATGAACACCCAATGAAGGGATTACTTGGTAAGGAACTGAGACCCATGTGGGTAAGCCTGGGAGCAGACCCACCAGCCAAATCAAGCCTTTGATAGCCACACTCTGACCAAAATCTCGCCAGCAGTCTCATGAGAGACCACGGGCCAGAACCAAGCTAAGCTGCTCCCAGATTCCTGCCAGATTATATGTAAACACATATATATGTAAACATATAATTTGGATCTGAAAAAGTAGACAAAATCTTGGCTTTCCTTGCAAACCCATGGCTTCCTCAGAAACTGGGATAATAAATCTTTGTTATTTTAAGTTGCTAAGTTCTGGAGTAACTTGTTATGCAGCAACAGATAGCTAATACACTTCTGACAGACATCATAAAAGGCAAAGATGACAAGCTGCATGAGGGAGAGACAGTGTCATCCTGTTTGCTTCCATCTTCCCAGTTCCTAGCCCAGGGCCCAGCACATAGCAGGCATTCAAAATATTTGTTGAACGAGAAATTAAAATATGGCTGCCGCCCTTCAGAGGCTCACATCTGAGGGGAAGAAGGCATGTCAACAGGCATCGGTTACACAGGTGTGAACGAAACTGGGATGGAATAGAGATGGCAAAAGTCCAGTGTTGCATGGCAGAGACAGTGACTCATTCTGTGTGGGGTTCTCAGATTGTGCATGAAGAAGGCAGCCACTCAGCAGGGCTGAGAAGGATAGGCCTTTCTAGATGAGTTAGAATCCACTATCTTCCCCATCAGCATCATTGTCTGATTTACAGCTATTATAAATTTGAAAACTGTGACTTTAAGAAGGAAACTTTCTTCCTCCATGTGAGAACAGTTATGAGCAAAGCGGCAGGCAAAGCTGTTAGTTATTAAACATAGCTGTTGTTTGCCGACATGGTCGCACACAAGACCAGATCGAGGGAGAAAATGGCACACACACAAAACAAACAAACAAACAAAAAACTCTTCCAAGATCTAGGGGAATCAAGAGAAAGGGTTTTCCATCTTGTCGGAGCCTCCTGAAGAGAGGGCGGCTTTGCAGGAGATCAGAAAACCAAGAGAAGGGGGCTTGGGGAGGGCAAGATCAGTGGCTCCAAGGAAACATATAGAAACCAAAAAATAAATGCACAGTGACTTGCAGAGCGGGCCCCTGAGTGCCGGGCTGGAAGATGTTGTTTATCTCAGCATGGGGCCTATGGCTTCCTGATCAGTTGGAAGCAGATCGATGGTTTCCCCACCCCCACACACGCTGTCTGCATGTTGCCTGCACGATTTTGCCACAGTCCAGTATCTCTGGGCTGTTATTTAATTTGTCACTCTTTTTTTTTTTTTGAGCTTTCACTTATTTGTGAAGGACACTTTGTATCATTGTAAGTGGACAATTAGTATCTTCCTATGACACATTAAAATAAATCCCCTAGCTATTGAAAAAAAACAAATTTATACCTGTATATCACTTAAAGTCCTCTTGAGCATGACTGTACTGTATATAGCCACATTCTGAGAAACACCGACTTCTATAAGAGTAATTAAATCACAGTACAAGGGTGAACTGCAAGACGAAATTGGTTTCATTTATAGAGAAG